GGTGTGGTGCATGAATATAAGGAAAACTGAATAGAAAAGCCCAAAAAAAAAAAAAAAACCCTCTATTTATTTTCATTTTTTGATTTTGTTTTTCTTATTTAAAAATAAAATTGACAGGCATGAACTCAAAACATTGACATGCTAAGAAGCTAGCACGTCGCAAATGATTTTTATGGACTAGAATGCATTTTTATATACTAATTCTATTACTTGAGAAAGTCATGGGTGCTTGAGCCTCTCTCGATCCTTCATGCCCCTGTGTCGATTCGAAGGTCGAACGTGTTAGGTACCTAAGTTCGGACCCAATCGAAGATTGTAGTGCTGGTAAGTCTCTCTCCAGCGTCTTATGACTAAGTAGGGTAAGTTGAACCTGTTCGAGGTGGCTTTTGAATGTAATTGGGTCCACTTGGAACTTTCTACGTAGTATGATTTTCTCTCCGAACAAATATAATCTCCAATTTTGAAACTATAGTTCAAAATATTTAATAGTAATATATTCACGTCTATCCTAGAATAGAAGAAGTAGAATATTCAAACTAGTTTTGAAAGTATGATTCAGAATATTTAATACTAATATATCCAAGTCTATCATCAAAATAGAAAAAGTACGGATATTCAAAACAGAAGGTAGAAAATATGAAGTTGTTGCATAAACAAGTTTTTCATATAACATTAACACACTTCTTCACTCAGTTACAATTCTAATTCTTGATTTTGATTCTAAATTATGAAAAGGAAAATTATTATAAACAAAAAATAATGTAAGATCTTTTAGTGATGTTTGTAGAAAAGTATTTGACTTAACATCGGCACATAATTCTACAATATAATTTTATTATATATCAAATAAAACACGAGGTTTCTTTTATTATTATTTCATACTTATTATAATATTATTTTTATAACTATAAGACTTATTACTTTATAAAAAGCATTATATCATTCAGCAAATATTAAAATGGTTAATACAAAAAACATCTCATAAAAAAAAGGAAAATACATATTTGATCCATGAGGTTTGGATCAACTGTCTATTTAGTTCTTGAAGTTTAAAAATGAACACTTTTGATCCTTAAGATTTGTAGTAAGTATCTATTTGGTCTCTCAAGTTTCAAAATTTACATTTTTGGTCCTCGAGATTTGGAAAATTATTCTACATGCTCCTTTGACCGTCAGTTGACCATGTGTGATTTTCTTATTACTCTTTCTAGCTCTCTCCTTCCCTTTCTCTCCTATTTTGGGCCAACATTATTGCCACTAACGCCACCACCAACCCACCACCCACCGTCATTGTCGCTGCATTTTCTCCATCATCGGTGACAGAGAAGGGAAAGGAAGGTCTCCCTCTCTCCTTCGAGAGCTCCTCCTCCCGTCGCGACTACGAAGGGGCATAGGTCTCCTTCTCTCCTTTGTTCTAGATTTGGAATGAAGGAGAGAGAGACCTCCTCCTCTTGTCAGCGACTGCAAAGAAGAAAATACGGCTGCGATGACTGCGATAGTGTAGCGTGGCACGATGAGTAAAGTGCAGTTACGGCAGGCAATGGGGGCTGGCTGGAGATGGGAGAAAAAAGAATGAAAAGGTAGAGAGAAAACCACTAACAGTCAACTAACGGTCAAAGAACCATTTAGAATTATTTCTCAAATCTTGAGGACCAAAAATGTCCATTATGAAATTTGAGAGACTAAATAGACACTTACAAACTTCAAGGATCAAAAGTATTCATTTTGAAAATTTAAAGACCAAAATAGATACCTGTCAAAAGTATATTTTTCCAAAAAATAAATATATTCTCTTATACATCAATGCATAAATAATCGTGTTTTATCTTTTCCAAATCTAAAATAATACAGTTAAATAATCGTTTTTCCCCTGGCTCCTAAGAACTTAATTTATACTCACCTTTTTTCGAGGGTTAAAAAAATTCAAATTAATTTAAATGCTTTGGAAGCATGCAACTTTCAAAGGGGAATATAGAATAAATTTATTAGACTTAAAAGGGGAACC